TACACAACTTCTTTTTCAAAAGTTGAATTGAGTGATAGTTTATATCTTAAATTTATGAATATACCATATTTAGTCATCATATTTGTTATTTTCACTTTGAGTTTCTTCATGGGATCAGAAGCTAGGAAGAAAGTACATATTTTTCTTATGTTTTTCTTTTCAGAGTTTTTTATATTCTTCCTTAATGTATAGAGTATCATTCAATGAAGGCTGAGAACAGAAAACAGCCATTTTATTAAAAAGTGTTGGCTTCCCTAACAGAGGGCACAGAGGAGGACATTATCATTGATTGTACTACTGAGAATAATAATAATCTTCAGCTATATAAAACAAGCGAGATATTAAAAAACCATTGAAAATTTGGATTTTAATTTTATGAAAAGTAAAAGTGTTTGTTCTACAAGGGTCAGAAGGACAATGCTTTAAGTAAGCAATAGGAATTTCCTCTGAAGTGTCACGCATGTGTGTGCCGAGGAGGAGAGCAATGAGACATTTTAAGGCAACATATACTGAATTTTGGACTACACATGAAACTGGGGTATATTTGCATTGATTTGTGGATACAAAGCATACATTTTTCACTAGACTTTGTGAAACAGTATAAAGTTTGAACTTTGAGTAAGGTGGAAGGTTTTCTTGGGGTAAAATATTAACTGAGCTGATAGGAGAGTTGAGGAAAGTCAGACTATAGCATCCATCAAAGCATTAATCCTTGGAGTAAATGGAAGATAATAATTTAGAACAGTATCTCGCTTGTAAGCCAGGTAGTTGATACTCAGCATTTGAGAGTCCCACAGTGTTTACATAGCTCTGAGATCATTTACTCATCTGAACATCAAACTCAGAAGCAGGAGGTGGCTTAGATAGATCTAGGATCTTTAAATATCTTTGGCCTAAGAAAATCTATCTCAGAGCAATTTACCACGTGCCTTCCCGAAAGCATGAATCACCACCCAGAGAATCCTCAAATGGCCCTCAGATTTTGTGAGTAGACTGTATCCCAGGATGATGACACAGAACTGATGTGACTATACTCTGTCATCTGTCCTTGGACACAACTGAGCCATTTAACAGAATACCTTATACAGTCTCCCACCAGTAATCCTAAGAACAGCCGTTCACTGTTTCCATGCGTGGGGACCATCACTTTTAAAGGTCACCTCATCTATATCAGAGTTCACATCATGACATCTCTTTAAGTCACTATGATTTTCTTTTCTATTGTGTTGGAGATGGGGCACTTTTTCCTCAAACTTTTTGTTTCTTTTTTCCTTTTTTGCAATTGCTTTGTATCTTAAAAGCCTTGAAAACAACTGTAGATTTTTTTTTTTAAAAAAATGCCTTTTAAAGATTTAATTTCTGGCATTTGCAAGAATCTACTTTGAAATATTTTCTTGGTGTTGAAGGGGTTTTTTATTGTAATATTTTCTGACCCTTTAACCTTATTACTGATGGAAGAAATCAAGAACCAAATATAGATACTTTTAAAAAGACTATCAATTTTTGCTTCTCTGTATTATACTTTTCTTAGTGTACCTGCCATTCTTTTGTGATAATATCTTGCCTCATGTTTAAAACATGATTAGTTTAGACAAATTTATTTCCATGAAAAAATAAGGAAATTTAGAATGATTACTTAATACTTTATTATTGTTATCATCATCATCATTACTATTATTATTATTATTATTATTATTCTTGTGTGTGCATGTGCATGCATGTATGTGTGCATGTTTGTGTGTGTGCCTGCCTTACCCAATGAGATCTGTATGCTCAGGTGTGTAAGTGGAAGTCACAGACCAACTTTGTGGATTGGTTTCTTTCCTTCTACATTTTTCTTTTAAAGTGACTTATTTTTATTTCAAGCACATTGGTGTTTTACTTGCATGTATGTCTGTGTGAATGTGTGTGATCTCCTGGAGCTAGAGTTACAGACAGTTGTGAGCTGTTCTGTGGGTTTTGAGAATTGAATCTGGGTCTTTTGGAAGACCAGGGCTCTTAACCACTGAGCCATCTCTCCAGCCTCTCCTACTTTCATAAGTGTTCCAGGAATCAAACTCAGGCTGTCAGACTGATTTTTTGGGGGGTAGAAGTGGCAAGCACCTCATCCACTGGACAATCTTGCCAGCCTTCCATAGCAATGCCAGCCTCCCACAGCTAGTGTCTTTTATAAATTAAATTACATTCATTTTCATTTGAGCAGCACAAAGATGTTTAAGAAGTAGACTACATAAAACTGGCCTTCTCAGGGAAACTGAGTGTTACATGATTTTCAAGCATCGGTGAGGAACAGCAATGGTGATTCTCAGTGTATGGAATCACAATGCCCGAAGCCAAACAAAACCTATGGAATGTTATTCATTTGTAAGGATGTTGGGACAAGTGAAGGAAGTAATCCATATAGCTTAATTCATGTCATATATTGTTTGTGATGTGAGTTAAGAACCACTGGGAATGTGAAAAGGATTACAACAATAAAGAGAAAGATATTACTTATGCCGTGGCTTAAATATCTACGGTTACATAATATATGAAGTTTTGCTGATGTATTAACAAGAAGGTTAGAAAAAGCTGTTGCTCACTGATATGTTGGGGTTTATTTAAACACGCTGAGCTCCCTCTGCTCTTTATATGCTGCTGACAGTATGTGGTTGCTGGGGAAAGAGAAAGTGCAGGTTTAGGGTACATGGAAGCATGTTGGATGGTAGGGATTTGGTTAGCTGGGTAGTGACTGGTGGCTCAGGGAGTATGCCAAAGCAAAGGCGTCCTGATATCAAGTGATTATACTGGCCCCTCACTGAACTATATCAAAATGCAAAGAGAGCACTCACTTCTCATTCAACACAATTAGAACCTCCTAAATGCCAGAAAAGATTGGGGAGTGCGGAATGAGAACAGGAGATCGCTTTGTCTTCTAATACAGTTCAAACCTAGTAAGTGCCAGAGAAAGAGGAAGGAACACAAAGATCGGGTCTTCACATTGGAGGAGCTCACAGCCCAGTGGGAAAGAGACCAGCACATGAGTCAGTGTAATACAGCACAAGGGGGTCATATCAAATGCTCTGGGGGCACAGCCAAGGGAGGTATGGAGTTTACAGAGAATAGCTGGAGTTTCGGGGGATGTAAGAAAGCGCCTTGTGATGAGAAGGGAAAGCTCTCTTTGGACAGCTGCCTTTTGCAGAATCTCAGTTTGAGGCTTGAAGTAGCATGCCTGCTCAGGCTGAAGAATCAGATCAGCTCTGTTAATCCAGTGCTTGGAATATGATTAAGAAACCCCATGTCTGTCCTTCTAGAAATCAGAATAGGCATTTTGTGCATACATTCTCCAAAGAGCTCCTGCTGCCTGGAAAAGCGTTCTCACTGTCATTATTACAAAATGTGATATTTTTTGGATGCTCAAGAATGAATTTTTTTTTAGAATCTTGTAAATAATTTTTTAGATGCTATCATAACGAAATCACAATTAAGGTATTTTGTTTAAAATGGAAAATGATGGATGGGGAAAGTATTTTACCCTCAAAATCATTCCCAAGGGAAAAAAAAACATAGAATAAATGTCTTGGTTTTACTTTAACTTTATTATGTGGTTCATTCATAAAAATTAGTGCATGTGTGGGAGCAGATCCACTCTTTCACACTCATTTTCGTCTTTCCCCCTTCTGTACCTTGGAACACATGGTCTGGATTTTACTACAGGCTGGCATAGCTTTGTAGATGAGAAGCTTCTTCAAGTGCTTAGATACTGGAAGCTCTGATCACTCTTACTACCTTCCGTTCATGTGATCCACAGCTCACTTAAATGCAGACCCTGCTTTCAGACTGTCCTTGTAGCCATTGCTTGGATACATGGGATGGCCAGTGAGAGGTCTTCATGCCTTAAGGTAACTTTAAGTAAGGATTCACTGCTTATCTGCTTTTTTCGAAGATGCAATCACTGGTCTCATTCCTACCTGCTGGAGACTAAGTAACAGTCTTAATTGCATCTGATGAGCCTTTAAGTAAATCAGAACATCACACCATTAACATGTTATCCTGATGACTTAACCATGTTTCCGTCTTTCTCAGGGTGATATTGGTCTTAGAAGCCAGGCAACTTGTACATCATTTATGTGTAGCTATTTCCCCCGGGGCTACTCATCAATATATTTAGATTTAGGAGACGCAGAAGAGTAGGCTGATAGCATTCACTTGATTAAAGGAGTCTCATAGAATGGGTAAGGTTGGTTTGTTAAGTATATCAGGGATAGTGTTTGCTTACTTTCTCTAATAGGTGTGCACATTCCCAGTGAGCTCAATAGGTCAGATTTGGCCAGAGTTGCAATTAGGTCCTTACCCAAACCATCTAAAAGATCAAAAAACTAAAATCAGTGCAACCTTTGAAGCACTACTTAATCAAACAGAATGTAACTCAATTCAGTGATAAGTCAAGACCTGTGGATTGAGGTTTGTGCTTTTTTATATTTATTCCGATTGTACCTATAGGGAAAAAAGTCTTATAGACGTTATCTCTTGCCCTGACTCTAGTCAAATAAACAGGTAATAAAATTGAAAGTTCTATTCGCTGTGCTTTTGCTTAAAAACTTAGTCACTTTTGAATATATAAATTCTTTTAACAGAGTTTGCTATATTAATATATCTATCCTCTATTGAAGTTGTGTCTGAGTCAGGAAATCCTAATCCATCATTTGTGTTCTGTTTGTCTGATGTTGCAGGGGCTTTGAGTTGAGATTCTAGGTCCCAGTAATCACCATCTGAATGAGCACAATAGAAAATTGCCTTCAACAGTCATGTGTGTAACAAAAGTTGTAAACCATGTAACAAAAGGTGTAACCAACTTTTAGGTGGCAGTGCTTGGATTTTCTTAAAGGTCATTCTATTCTTTCTAGAAATGAAGGATGAACCATGACACTACCAAAGCAAGGCTCATTGTTAAGTATTTTCTGTGTAACATAAACTCTGTTTTTTTTTGTTTGTTTGTTTGTTTTGTCTTGTCTTCAAAGGCGTTTAAACAGAAATAACCTTCAGTTGCTTCCTGAGCTGCTGTTTCTTGGGACTGCGAAGCTCTACCGGCTGTAAGTAGACACACAAGTGTTTGCTGCTGCTTTGCATTGACCTTGTGTTTTATTAATAGAGTTGTGGCTGTTTTCTTGAGCTTTCCTGGAATCCATGCGTTCGGAGATTCTTAGATTGGAAGTTTGCCCTTTTGCTTTCTGAAAGAAATAAAAGATCTTCAGTGGTTCCAGTGGCTTTGTTTATGTAGCGTTCTGTGGTTCCAGGGTGCATTATTGCAGTTGCCTTTTTCTTGGTTTTTGTTATAGGGTGATACAGAGGTTTGCCTTGTGTGCAAAGGAAACCTCAAATTTGGAAGAGAAGAATTGCTACTGTTCTTCCACTTTTAAAGGAAGTTGATAGTGCTTCCTGTAAAGTTGGGGTTCCTTCTGTATGCTCTTTTTTGGCATTGTTTCTGAATCTGAGGAATAGTGTTTATTAGGTTCCCCATATTTATCCTAAGGCATTTAAAGCTGTACAATCTTTCATAAGTGCTTCTTTTGAAGCCAGAATTACAAATCTGCAATGTGAACTGCCAGAAGGCAAGAGACTTTCACATCAAAATACCTCATACACTGTTAGGGAAGTTGTTCTTTTAAAAAAGCACATTGCAAGTGAAATCGGCTTTTCCTCCCAGGAATGCTTGTTCTCTGACCTAATGTGTAATAGGGAAAACACATTTATGAAAGCTTTGAAAATTAGATTTTTTCAGCTGTGTGCAAGGTTTTGCGCAGACGGTAGATACGCTACAAAGTGTTGGCAAGAATAAATAGCAATGATTATCGATTCTCATGTATGCTGTAAAATGATGGCTAGGATAGGTAGGAAGATGTCTGGAATGGCCCCACCTGGGTGTCGGGAAGTCCCATATGGAAGTGTTTGTAGAGAAAGTGAACACATCGCTCTTTTCCGAATTTGATTTTGTAGCCAAAGCTTTGTAGCCTACACGTTCAATATTGTTGTTATCAATTCCAGAAGCGTGTATGTGGGGGTGGGGCGGGGGTTCTCTCATACTCACCCCTGCTGGAAACAGGATGTCTGCTAGGTCAGTCCTCCTGATACTTCATTTCACAATACAGAGATCATTCCCAGCTGACACCCCACATCTTCTCTTTCCTGACATCGTTTCCCTAAGGAAAGCCAAAATCCCTGGCTGCATTGCTCATGCTTGTGACATTTGCTGTTTAATGGGCCCTATTCAAGTGTATTTTTAAAAATCAAAGGAACGTCTCTTAACAGATCATCTCTAAGGGCTAGTTTTTGAGGAAGTAGGATGTAGCATACTATAAAATTAAACACACACACACACACACACACACACACACACACACTCTCACTCACTCAGTGTTGTAATAGCCAGATTTGTTTTTTAAATAATATCCCCCTTCTGCTTTAATTGTTAGGGACTGAAGAAACTGGTAGTAGCTAATTTTGAAGCTAATGTCTAATGACCTTGCTAAACTGTGACTTTGCAAGCAGTTTGCATACAAAAACAACACACAGTGTCTTTGAAGAGCTTTTTTTTTTTTTTTTTGTACTGCAGAAGTGAACTTACATACTTAAATGGAATGGCTGCTGTCTGTTATCAGTTGTACTATGAAAAATGTATGAAGCAACCTCAATACTCTCTCTGACAAACAAGAGTGTTCCATGTTTGCCCTGGAAGTACTTGGATTGATTTGCCCAGGAGCTTTTGAATGGCTTAATGCATTATAAAAGTCCCCACTAGCAAATTATACAGTTTGACATCTAGACCTCTCTGACAATATTACAGAATGGAACAAAGCGATTTCCCCCTATATTTTAAGATTTTATATTTTTCTGCTTATGTATGATAGAACACATGAGAGCTGGGAGCAGTAGCCTGAAGAGGCATCAGACCCCACAAGACTGTTACAAAGTTTTCTAAGTCATTCATGTTTAAAAGGGGAAAGGGGAGTTAGAAAATATGCTTGGGATATTTCTATATCTGTTTGGCTCAAATAATTTTCCCGAGTGACCATGCCAGGTAATAGTTTTAATTGTTCACATCTATAGTTCTAACACAGATGTAGATGTTGTATTCCTAAACCTCGCCCTTCAAGGCATCATGGTTAATATTAACAGAGTATCATTCTCTATTTGATGGGTGACATTTCCTTTCAATAGAAATGTAGAGGTTTACTTTTCTCTCCTTCCTTCCCACCATCTCTCTCTCCTTCGTTTCCACCTTTCCTCCCTTCTACACTTCTTTCCTTCCATTCTGGCTTTTAATTCTCATTTTGTTTTCATTCTATAGGCGAGGCTAACTTCGAACCTATTATGTAGCTAGCCTACACTAGCCTTGAACTGTGGCAATCCTCTTGACTCAGCCTCTTCCATGGTGAGACCACCGTCATGGAAATGTGATTGTCTGCGCATTCAAATCAGAAATCTTTTTGTTTCAAGCTAATAGATAGAGGTTAAAATTGTTAAAAGTGTTGATCTCATGAGAGGAAAAGTAATAAACTATATATGAGTACTTTTTAAATAATACTAAGGCCAATAAAATTAAACACACAGGACTAAGAGTCTTTAGTTAGCAGGACAAAATCTGTAAGTCTGACTACTACATGAGGGCTAGTATACCTGTGAAGATCAAGGCTATAGCTTCATTGCTCTTGCCCTTCCTGTGATACCTGAGTCTGGTTGCTCACTGGAAATGAATATCGTAGTAGATAGAAAATGTGTTAAAAGTCCACATTCAAAAGTATCCTTTGAAATGCTCCTTCAGAAATGAATCATTGAACAAGAAGACTGAACAAGAAAACAGGTTTAGGAATTTTGAGAGATAAAAGGAAAAGAATATTAGCATAAAGAAAACATTTGACCAGTTGTTTCATGTGTATATTAAAAGAAATCCATTTTTGCCTGGCTGAATATCATAGTAGAACTAGGTGTATTTACAGCACAGGAAAACAGCACGTCTAGAATTCATTTTTTCCGTCACAAATGCTAATTAATATGTCTTTTTAAACTTATTACATACTTTAATATATTTTCACTACATATTACCATTCATGAATGTAAACCAGTTTATAAGCTGGTATTTGATTTTAATGTTAATTTCTTAGATGGAAATTATCTTGATAAGTTGGATATCATACATATTACTTTTAGTTTTTATAATGAACAAATTGACATCTGATTTTTGACTGAAAATGAGATGCCAGGCACGCATGCATTTTGCAGACTCTAAATGCGATATAAAAGAAAAAGAGGGTACACTGTAAATGAATTATGATTTGACACGGTTGATTGCTGCTAGCGGCCAAATATGCTTTCCCTTTGCTGCCTGCTCCAATTTCTCTTTGGAAGGGCCGAGAGAGCACTGCATGCTCAGGTCAAGATGTTTGCTCAGAAATAGTAGTACACCCACAGCTGTGTTGGCTGGAGCAGAAAACTAGTTTAAATAGCATTCCCGTTTATCCAGTCCATTAACAGAACTCTGTAAAATAATCCCAACTCTGTGTAAACTACAGGACAGTGTAATAAAATTACAAGCACTTGTTGACAGATGAAAAGTGTAAGAGAAAGCATAGGATGATAGGATGCAGGTTAAAAGAGACAGCATACAGTTTTCCTGACTTCTACAGGGAGATTCCTTCCTCCCCTTTGCTCCTCTTCTGATCCTGAGGTTTTGCATTTTTATGATCCACCTAAGAGTGGAAGAAAATTTTTTTCAGGGCAATCTGGAGCTAGTTAACTGAAACAGACTGTGGTGAATTTTGAAGAGGTTGGCCACTTATGGGCTGAACCCAAGGAACAGCATACGCAAATCTTCCAGATAAGCCTGTCCTTCAAGGCAGTTTGCAAGTGTGTGGTGCACCATTTCCCATCGGAGTTTGCAGCTGCTTATCCAGGCTCATTAGAGAGGAATTTTATTGATGGTACCATGGATAAGCATCTGGTTGTAAATGTTTGTTTTGTGGTTTTCAGTTGATGTCTTTGAGTAGTAATATATTTACCCAGACGTCTAACCTAGGTTTGCATATCCAAGGCACTTTATAGAAACTCATCTTAATCTAGTATCTTCCCAAATCCAAAGAAAACAAACAAAAAATTAAAATATATCTACTTCTGTTAGCGTGACACACTTTATTACATTATTTTTGAATACAAGCTTTATTTATGGTTTTGACATGGAAAATTATTTCTTAAGGAGGTTGAGAACTACCAAACTTCCTGACTGTATGAATATTAAAGTCAAATACACCTTTTATGGGTTAAGTAATTCTTACTGGAGATGAACAGATTTTTGACTGCTTGAATTGATTGGTCTTGTAGCAACTCTTGTCTTAAACATCCTCAGATTGTCAAAATACTTTCTGATAACTAAAGTCAAGGGAATTTTTTTTTTGTAAAGGAAACTTCAGGGTTTTTATTATTATTATTATTATTGTTTTAGAAAGCTAACAATTTAATTTCTCTAGTGTAACAAATACACGACTAAGCTGTCTTCATTTCATATTTCCCCACTTTCAATGCAAAATTCTTCGTTGCTTTTGATAGTTTCGAGAAAAGGATATGCTCTTGTAAATAGGTCTTTTAAATTCAGAAAACTAAAACCATGCTTACATTTGTGAATTATGATGTAAGTTTTATTTTATAATTGTGCTTATCAATACTCTCCACACATATATTAGGGAAAATTTAACATCCCTGAGTCTAGTGTGAGACTTGACCCTTGTAAAGTCTCAATAACTGATGTGTTGAATTAAGACTCTGTTGGGTTCCAGGATTGCAACTTGAATGAGCAAGTGATCATTCTGGGAAGGCATTATGAATTATGGAGAACCAAATTTAATTTAAGAGATAACTTGACTAATTAAACGTTTGTTTCTCTTGGGTTTTCTAAACATTGAATGGTTTCAGTAGATACAGCAAGATCAAAACACGACCTGTTTATTTCTTTTAAAACAAACTATACCTTCGTTTGAGGCAAAGGTATACTCAAGCACTACTAACCTTGTTTTGGGATATCAAAAGAGTCTCATTAGGATTC